CATAGTAAATTAATTTTACTAGCAGCTTCAAGCCATGCCTTAAACTTCGCTCAAGCTTTTCTTTAATCGGCTTTAATTAAAGCTGGTTAAGGTAACCAGCCAAGCAGGCTAACCTGAAGGAGTGAGAGATACAAGAAGACTGAGAATATAAACCTTGTACGACTATGGGCTTCAATTTCTTCGTAACTATTTCAAAAAGCTTGCACATCATTTTCATGAGGCTATTTCTTCAGAATCATCTTAAACTCATACAAAACTGCTTTAGATAGGGATAAATACATCCAAAATCTTAAATCCTGGAATGCCAATTTTCATACTACAAAATTCTTGACCATAACTTGCTTATTAGAAAACATAATATATAAAATACATCTTAATTTTATAACAAAACCAAATAAAAAGGAATGAATGGAAAATATGCATTAGCTGTCAATCACTTTTGATTCTGATTTTTGCTAAATGATCTTCTATATCTATTAACACGGAAACTATAATGGCTGATAGTAAAACACTATGGCTATCACATATCTATGAATACAAAATATTATTTTAGCATTAAGTAAACATAAAATTCCTCAATTTTTCCCTGAACCTCATTTGAAATAAACTACTTTAACTGAGTTTAGATGAAACTTAATGTAAATATAACCAAAAAAAAAAACCTTTATTTTATGCACTGTCACTAATAAATTCTGAATTGGTAGGTTCTTGGCTGAGAAACTGCCAGCTTGTTTAATTTTTGTCAGTTTGAAAGAAATATGCTATTTAAGATCTAATCCCAAATACTTTGAATGATATTTTAATTAACTCCTATCTAAGACACACACGAGGCCACTCAGGTGGAAGAGATTTAGAATACCATACTGTACGTTAATCAGTTTGGCTCTTCAGGAATAGAAAGGAAATGTCAATTGGATGGTCAGTATATATATATGGGTGAGCACATTTTACACAATCTAAATTAATTTAGAGAATAAAATATGCACTCATATTTGAGAAGGGTTGATGAATTATGTCAAACCCTTGACCCACATTAGTTTGAATGTCATCAGTTTAATAACACTGGACAAAAACACATAACTCCTTGTCACAGAGTAAGCCAAGTAATGACATTATTTCCCAATGACTGGGACCAAAGAATCATGTGTTTTCCAGAAACGATACTTAATCATCAGAAAGGGAGCTTCACTTCCTCTTATCTTGAGTATATACTTATTCAAGGAGATTCAACAGACATTTTTTAGATGGAATGAATGAATACATAAATTCACAAGTGAAATGCATAGAATAGAGCTGTTTTACTAATGTTTTGAGACGATGAATCAAATGTGAAACTGAGTACCGAAACTCTTTCTTTTCTTTGTGGAGTGGCAATCGATGCATGAATCCATTGCTCAAACCATTATTGTACAAAGAGACTACGGACATTCTGTCTTTAATACTCATGTCAAATTTCCTTTTATCATTAACACTGAACTATTCTAGTATGTGCATATTCCAGTCGAGGAAAGACACAGAGCAAGGAGGGAGGAAAAGGGAGATAAAGCTAGAGTCTTGGTTGGGGCTCTTTCCCAAGAGTTAATCCATTCTGCCACATTACAATTTACAGTAAAATGAAATTGGCAAGCCAACCTGAAAAGAAAGGGAGGGGAGGGGGAGAGGAAGGGAGACGAGAGGGAGATGACCAAATTCATTCAGTGAATCCAAGCATCTCCAGGGAAGTAATAGTGAGTCTATGCATATCCCAAAGGGAATTTGACTCCGAAATAACAACGTTAACTGATTCCTGGTGGGAGAAAAGACAAGTAGAAGTGCTCAAGAGTGGGGTCAAAATGGAGAATTGGACTGGGTGTAAAGGGGCCTTATAAAGCATTTTTGATGAGCAAATAGCAATAGGGTTCTTTTCTTTCTACTTCTTCAATGAGCCTCCTTTTTCCTGCCAGAATCACCCATGAATTGTGGGACTTTTTGAGTACGTGGAGAAATATAATGAACTGTCAAGTCCTGGATCAGAATATGTGAGAGGCACAGAAGTAGAGCTTAGCAGGAAATTTTCGTTTCTCTAGAGAAATTTCCAGTCATTCATTAGTTATCAAGAAGACTCTCAAATTGTCAGTCCTGTCTCTGGAAAAATGAAATGCATTCCAAGTGCCCTCAGAGCAAAACTTTTCATGAAAGACAAACTAGAAATCAGTGTGATAACAAGAGAAAAAAATCAAGACGAATGAAACTTAAAGATGAGATAGCACCTGAGGTACACCTAAGAAGAACGGCAGATGTACTGAAGGGGAAGAAAGGAACACAAAATGGGACAGCTGGAAGGAAATGATTAGAGGCAGGACATAAAAGACCCATCGATTTGTGATGGTTCGAGATTACTCTGGGCACTTTGCTATCTTCTTTGGGTTTTAGGGCGTCTCTATTTTACGCTCAGTGTTTAAATCCATCTTATTTATATATTTGAACATTCATGTATTTGGAGTGTCATACGCTGTGAGATTTTTAAAAAACAAATAAAATAGTTCACTCATTAATGCCTAAAATTACTGGTGTCATGGCTTAACCACTAATAAGACTTTTTACATTTCTTGATACTTTTGCCAACCATTCAAGGTTTACCCACAAATTTTCATTCGTATTACCATGATTCATTTATACTTACCCTCCTTCATGTTGGTGATTTAAAATAAACCGATTTTAAGTGTCAAATTTCTTTTGCATATTTACTTTTAAAGGATATTTTTTAATAAGCACTTTGAAAGTTCATTCCTATAAAACCTGTGACAACTAACCAATATACTCACCAAATTTGATGCTATAGGATTCCTAGTAATACATACATTAACAATTAAAGTTTGTATCTGTTGCTTTTTGGCTAATTCAATCAGAATGCATACTTACTTCATTTAAATGAAAGGGAGATGTCTAATTGCCTGAATTACACTTCCTTTAACATGACAGTTTAGTTGGCTCACAAAAACCAATCCATTACAAATTCTACCTGGCAGAAAATGAGTTTAAATACTGAGATACATAATATTCCAAGCTTGAATTGTTACTTGAGTTACTTGTTTGCATTTTACCAACAAGTAAAATTGTCAGTGTTTTAGTTTCTTATTATTAATATTCTTTTAGTAAAACAGTAGACATTTTTTCTTGGAACAAGTCATGGGGTTTTCAAAGGAAGCCACCTCTCAGACAGCAAATAAGCTGACGTTTGATGACCCTAATGTCAGAGTGCTGTCAGCAGAGCATGCATGTAGAATGCGTTATGTAATTAATAGCTGTATTTCCACATGTGCCAAAGCACTGAATGACTGCAGGTACGGGATACCAGTATTACTAATCATTTCAGTGTATAAAAAATTATATTTCTCTTCTGTTTGTGCTTAGCTGATGACAAGCTGAATGAAGATGTACTCTTGCTGGAAAGTCGGGTTTGTTGGGGAATGATACTAAATACATTTTTTGGTTTATCTCCATTATAAGTTTGAAGTATTATTAAATAATAAAAAGATCTTTGCCTTTTGTAAGAACATGTTTTATGTACGACTGAAGTTTTTACAACACTCCAAAAAGCCATCTGATGTTAGATTTAAAAATAAAATCCAAAGCATTTTCTGACATAGTACACATGACAAATTGGAAATCCCAGTATCTTCAGTAGGAGTAGTAGAAAGTGTATGTCTCCTTGGAGCCAGACACCCACTCAACAGGGCAGGAAATAAGTTACTAAACTGTAAACAAAAACGGACAGTAAAGGACAGCTGTAAATTTACATAAGAGTCATTCAGAAACATTTTGGTCTTTCCATAAGTTTTATATAAAATGAATAAAAAACCTTTAGAGATAGCTGTCATCATTCCTGTTGAAGCACTTTTCACTATATGCACACAGACACATTTATATAGCAATACACTGATGCACTGTTACACAGATATTAAACTGTAATTACTGCTTGTAACCGAGATGTGTGTCATCCAATCAACATTATCCATAGATGAAATACTCTTACATTATGTATTCTTGTCATGTTGTATCTATAAAAACATGAAAATATAACTTTACATTATTTCAATTATTTACAGTAGTTCAAGCTTGACAGAGAAAAATTGGTTAAGCTCAATTCTTGGAAAAGTAGGCCCAGAGGTACAATAAATACCATCAATTGTATGTGTGTGTGTGTATATATATAT